TGCTGCGGTCAGCACATGTGCTCCTCCGGACGCTTCGTACAACACGAGCGACGCCTCAACCGTGACGTCGTCATCACCGTCGCCAACAACGAAAACCTGAAAACAAATAGACAAGGCGTGGTTCAGTTACAATCAATGGAGACAAACGTTATTCTTCAGCTCAACAAGGTCCTCATCGTCGACAATCTGGGATACAACCTATTAAGCGTAAGCCAACTAATGGCTAAGGGGATTCACCTGGAGTGCGACTCCTTCTCCAACGAGTTCCGACTTTACCACGGGAAGGGCGGTCTCTTCATCGGTCGTGCCCTCCTGAAGTCCGGTGTCTTCGTGTTGGACTTCGTCCCCGACCGCGGAACTGCCGACAGCGACGGTATCGTATCCTTCGCCGCCTGGACTCATCCGCCAGATCTTGATCCCGACTTCGACAGCGACGGCTTCTGGCACTCCAACACCATACCTGCAGCAGAAAGAACACGAGCATTAGCAGTTATCAGACAAGAAAGACAAGTACCCGCATGTGTCCCAACAAAACCATCACCTGCAGTATCGGCAGCAGGACCCAGCCGAGTACCACCACCAGCGACACGAGGACAGCCAACCGAAGCAGACCAACTTATGCCCGCCACACGAGAAGCTTGTCGAAGTCCCGCCTCGGTCGTCGCGTTCTTCTCCAACGCCGACATCTACCACCGCTCGCCCGGTCACCGCGCTCCCGACGACATCTGGCACCAACGTCTCGGACATCCTGCAAACAGCACGATACTTCAAACAATCCAAGCAGAAGTGTTAGAACGCAACGCCCTTCTGACGACGAGCGGCCAGGAACTCCGACGACCACGCGCACGGTGTTTCACATGCCCCGAAGCAGATCTTCCTCATCAACCTTTCCCAGCCCATCACAATCCAAGCGCACCCACTTACGCTCCGATGGAAAAGGTCTACAGCGATATTCTAAACATGCCTCGAGACGACACCGAAGCCGACTTCAACTACGTCATCACGTTCATCGACGCCGCAACCAGATACGTCTGGCACTTCAATCTCAAAACGCGCGATCAAGCCTTCGAGGCATTCACCACATGGCTTCCAATCGCCGAACGAGAGTCAGGAACCAAACTCAAGAGTTTCCAGTCAGACGGTGCACTGGAATACCAGTCACAACGCTTCAGGACCTATCTCGCGGAAAGGGGAATCCGACGCCTGGTGTCTCTGCCCTATGCTCACCAGCAGCAGGGGGTAGCAGAACGCATGAACCGGACCTTGCAGACGACGATGCGAAAACTGCTTCTGGGGATGAGGCTGCCCAACGCACTGTGGCCAGACGCGATGACACATGCAGTCCACCTGCACAACCTGTTGTCCTCGTCATCGCTCCCCAACAACGCATCACCACACCTGCTGTGGACGGGAAAAAGGGGCAGCACAAAATTACTTCGAGTTTTCGGCTGCATGGTACAATACAGACCCCACACAGCTCGAGCAGGACGCTTCACTCAACGAGCTCGGTGGGGACTACACCTCGGCATCGCCAAACATTTTCACGCGTGGAAGATCCTCGACATACAAGACAAAAATACGGTGGCATCACGTGATGTTATCTTCTACGAGCGACTGACGCTGCAGCATTACCTGGACAACATTGCCAACTCAGACGACCCCACCGACGGCTTCGCGGGCCTTCGCTCCTTCGCTGACCATGCTGCCGAGGCTGACGCAGCAGAAGAAGACGTACCTGGAGCCTCGGAAGCTGCCGGGCCACTCCCATTCTGTTCCATACCTGTTCCACTCGATGAAGATAATCCCCTCGATAGCAACAACCTCGACACCTTTTACCACTTCGCCGACCAAGGTTACGCTACACCGCACCCCGTCGACACGAATATTTCGGAACGCATCGGCCCCAATTTCTTACCTGACCCCGAAGACGGTGACGAAGCAGCTTATTCGGGGAATGACAATTCCCCTCGACACACACCCACGGGACTCCAGATTCTAGGCCTCTGGGTCTCCGTCCAGCATCCGCCGCCGCCTTCTACGCGTGAGCCTTCAACCTTGTCGCAGGCTCTGGGGGGGGAACATAAGGCAAAATGGAAAGAAGCGATGGAAAAGGAGTTAAAAGCTCTGCAAGACCGAGAAACATGGAAACTGGTACCTGCAACGAGCATCAACGGGAAGAACGTTCTCTCGGGGAAATGGGTGTACCGCATCAAGACCAACTCAGACGGCTCCATCGAACGATTCAAAGCTCGATGGGTCGTACGAGGCTTCGATCAACGATACGGAACCGACTACACAGAAACCTTCGCCCCAGTCTCCCGTCACACCTCATTACGCATCCTACTCGCCGTCGCGGCCACAAAAACACTACCACTACGCCAAATCGATGTCGCGAATGCGTTCCTATACGCACCTGTGGACGCTGAGATCTTCGTCGAACAACCCCACGGATTCATCGACGACCCCACGAAAATATGCCGACTGACAAAATCCCTATACGGGATCAAGCAAGCCCCGCGGCTCTGGCAGCAGCATCTTCACAGCCGTCTCGTAAAAATCGGCTTCCTACAGCTGCCGCATGACCAAGGGATGTACCGACTACAGAAGGGAAGAGAGTATGTTCTGCTCATCGTCTACGTCGACGACCTGCTCTACATCGGCTCAACTACCGACATCGCCACCTGGTTCGAAGGGGAGCTGAAAGAAGATTTAACTCTCACGGTGTCCGACGAAGTTACGCAGTACCTAGGACTGAACGTCGTCGAAGACGACACGGCATTCTACCTACACGCTGGAAAGTACTCAAGCACCGTCGCGAAGAAATTCGCTCTAACACCGACTGCGGTCCCAACTCCCTACCGCTACGGGAACAACGGCAGCGCCTCTACAAAACTCCCCGCGAAACAAATCCAGGAGTATCAACAGAAGCTCGGCTGCCTACTATTCGCAGCAGTAACCTGCCGACCCGACCTATCCTATAGTGCGAGTCAGCTGGCGACACATCTGAAGCATCCGCAACAGGAAGATCTCGAAGAACTCAATCGAGCGCTACTCTACTTCGTCTCCACGCCGACGATCGGGCTTACCTACAGCAAGGCAACAACACCGTCCGTACGACTACTCGGATACGTCGACGCCGACCACGCGGGAGACAGCGAAAATCGACGGTCTAGGACGGGCTACATCTACCGACTAGAACCTATCGGAACTATCTCCTGGCAGTCGAGCAAGCAGGAGTTAATCGCACTATCCTCGGCTGAAGCAGAGTATATCGCCCTTTGTACTGCGACCAAGGAAGGACTCTACCTACGAGAGTTACTCGAAGAAGCGAAGATCGCGACCCTGCCCGCCTTCTCACTCCTCTGCGACAACCAATCTGCGATCAAAATCGCGAACAAGGACGGCTTCGCCAATCGAACCAAGCACATCGCCCTGCGGTACTTCTTCGTCAAGGATGAAATCGCGAAGGGGAGACTTCAACTCAGTTACTGCCCGACGACAGAAATGGCCGCAGATTATCTGACGAAGAAATTGGCGAAAGCAAAATTCGACTACTGCATGCTCCTAACCGGGCAAACAAACGCCACCAGATCTGAACACTCCAGCACTCCAGAAACGAAGGGGAGTGTTGGAAATATCTCAAGGACTTAAGCGTTTCTGAAGTGTAACACTGTACTCGAGGAAGACTACAGGGGAGCACGCGAGTCAACGGAGGTTACACGAGGGGGCGGACAAAGAATGCGAAAGGACTCGAAAGGTCGCAACTGGAGGTTGCGACTGACCGTTACAACATCACGGATGGTAACCGAAGCGGCAATCGAGTCGCTGTGCGACTCGATAAACCGTTCCTGTAACTGTATTCTACAACTGCTTTCTTATCTACTATATATTGCTGTATGCTTGTTTCTTTAATCAATCACTTGTTCTCACATACTAGTACAAGGGTTCAACCGTCTCAACTTCCGCTGCACTACTCCAAGTCTCAAGTCTCTACAAGCTGGGACTTAGTCTCTGCAAAAGATCCTAAGGGCTTTTCTCAGCCCAACAACTGACATAATGATAGATATCTAACTGACGTAATCAAATTCAGCTTGCATCGGGTTCCTGAAACTCAACTTGCTCAGAATACTATGTTGGATTGAACCACGTGTTAAGGGTGGCCAGGATCTAGAGTTGGTGGAACCAAGAGTAAAAGTCAGCAGAAGGCTGTACACCTTGCAAAGGAAATCTCAGAAATAACAAGGATAATAATAATGAGCAATACTGACATATTTTTAATCTAGGAAGTACCTATTTGGGATGTACCTTTTCGTATTGTATGGCGACTTTTCGCATGACATGACAAGTAACTATTCGTGTGACTGAGAGTGGCGGGACCCTTCGGGTGACTATACGCACGAACCATATCCTCATAAGTCAGGCCAAAAGGGCGTGAAAGCCTGTATACTGTATCAGGGGGTTATTTAGCATATATCCTGTTTTTTCATGTTTTGATTTCCCATTTTTTAAGGCCTGAAAAATGGTATGTTCTTATTTTAGCGATTCTTGTTTTAGCGAGCCTCACAAATTAGCGTTACTCAAAATTCTCCCTGAAACATAATCCTTTCTGCCAGGGCGAGCTAAAGCATGTGTGGGAGGCATGACTGGTCCTTGACCAGAATCACGCAAATAGTCCGAGGCAAGTTGGAGCACGTGTGAGGGGGCTGACAGGTCCTTTCCCACAATGACGTACAGGTCACATTCTATAAACGCAAGGTCCAAGAATGTAGGAAATCGCGTGTACTGTAACAAATATTTTTGTGCGACCCATGCAAATTTGATTGTATTTGCTGTGCGATATTGGGGATTTGGCGTATGCGTATTGTAAAGGGGCGGTGGATCTGTCTTTTGTGCTGACCAATGCCATGTATGAACGTCTCCTAGTTTGTACAACTCTGAGTTTCATGCGCTGCAACAAGAACGACCCAATTGAAACCGTAGTATCGACAATGTGTTCGGGTTACAAACTGTTATGGCAAACAAGAAGAGTAAACATTACAAAACAAACCACAGTCAAACGAACAGGAGCACACAAGCGTTGACAAATCATCAAAGCCCAGAAACAGTCAAGCAGGGGGAGGTGGGCGCCATGGCGTGTGAGACCCCCCGAACATCATCCATTCACTGGCGTCGGGGTAGCCCGTCATCAAAGCGGAGGCCCCGAGCACATGCGCGCAGTACTGTTTGTCAACATCCGCCCTTGTGGCGCCGATGTCGAGACGGGAAGACACGCGCTCCAAGCGGTCGCAAACAAGGAGGTCGCGCATGTCGAAGAGAATACTCAGGTCCCACGGGGCGAGTTGGAGGCTCCTAGAGTAGGCTATGAGCATTTCCGTCGCGAGACGAGTCATGCCCCGATGGTCGCGAACGGAAGCGTCGGGGTGGGGAGAGGGAGGCGCGGAGGGCCACCAGGAGTCTCGGACCAATGGCGCCTGCGGCTCCGTCTCGAGCGTGTCGTTCCCGCCAGCCTCGCCAGTCGCCTCGTCGTGGTCAGCGTACACGAACTGGACGGCAGTCTCAATGTTGCCAGGCAAGCCGAACGGCGGTGCATTAATGGGGGACTGCACCTCGCGAATGTCTTCGTCCAGCAGGTGCACATCATCGAATGGCAGCTCGGCAAGGAGCGGCAACAAAGACTTCTCTCTGGGCGGCAGCATTACGGTGCGCCAAAAACACTTCTGGATCGTGCTCGTCTCGATCCCAGTCGTGGAGTCCGAGATGTAATCGATCACTCGTGTCATCTCGGGCTTGAACCCCAGCAGCTGCTCCACCATCATGCCCAGCTTCGCCCACTCGTTTAGCACAGCACGCAGAAGGTGAGTCTTGTACTTTGCCTTCAGAGCGGCCATGATCCCCTAGTCTAGAGGCTGGGTGGAAGGTCTGGTGTTGGGCGGCAGGTAGACGAGACGGACGTGCGACAGTGCGCATGTCCGGAAGCCACAGATGTCGGCAGTTGTGGCCAGAGGAGTCTTCAAGGTGTGGCCTGAAGCATTGTCGACCATCACGATGATGCTTCGCCCCTTCGTCATGCAAGCGGCATTCACGTTCTCAAAATACACTGTGAACACCTGCGGGACAGGATTGGGGGTGGCACCGTGAATGAGTGTGTGTGTTGTGGGATGAGGACATCGCAATTTTGTTGAACCGGGCCGGACGGGGAGGGGGGGGAGGGGGGGTCAGTTCATGCGCGGCTCGCGGGTCGTATACGAGCGTAAACTACAATCTATTGGCAGCGAGGTTCTTACTGGAGTAAATCGCCCCTAACAGTTGGAGTTTCCCCATCTGCCGGAGTTTGCTGATGCGCGCGGTACATGGTGAGTGGGTCGTATTTGTTGGGTTCTACGCTTCTGAGTGTACAGCGCAGTAAATGGTGGTTGGTCTGTCGTGTCCTGTACTCCCCGCTGTACTCTGCTGTTTATCCAGCTCCATTGTGGTTCGCGATGAGTGGCAGTTCGTTAATAGTGATGAGAACGTTACAATGTATTTGTTGACCCTTGTATGTACTATTTCTCGTAAATGCGGTTGTATTTATGGGATTTGTGACTAAGTTCATGTAAAATGCATCATGTTTTTCGGAATGTATTTTGGACATTTTGTAAATTTTATTCGTTTCGAATACGGAACATGCAGTCGTTTGGAGTTTTGCTTGTCATTTTACATAATGTTGTAGTTTCGGTTGACATATGCGTGTGCTTAATTGAAGGTTTGCACTTGAACCGATTGTTTTTCTATAACGCTGATGCGCTCCGATAATTGTGCAGCAATAATGTTGGCCTTCGGTCGGTTTTCACGGCGACGTCGCATTTTGAGGGACATCCGTGCTTCGCCAACTCAGCCTGCTCGGTATGGGTTACCACCGTGTTCGAACGCTTTGCACTGCTCGAAATCTTGAATTAAAACGCTGCACCTAGAGAGAGGTCTTACACTTGTTTTGCGGACAAATGATGGCGAGTCGTTCCTCCCTCTTCCATTTCCTTCCGATCCCTCATGGATTCTTCTTCTCGAAGTTCTCAGCAGCGTTTTCTTCGAAGGCCTAGTAGCGAATTACTTTCCGTCTCCTGCACTCTGTACTTGTGCGAACGCGACTTCCTGCTCCATAGGTACGTTCTGAGAAGCAGTGAATGTAGACCCACGACTCTCACGCGCCAAGGCTTCGGCTCTGTGTGGGCTCTGGGCCGCTCTACTGCCGCATACGTGGGCCCCTCTCCTCGAGAATTAGAGTCCAGGTGGGTGTCTTTGCGTGTGGATTTTAGAGACTTTTATCCACTCAGCTTCGTACGTTCCCTTGCGTCCCTCCCCTTGCACATCTTGTCGGAACCGACGTAGTATAGCGTGGCAAATGAGTTCTCACACCGACCGCACCTCTCTCCCTCTAACGGCTTAGCCTTTCCCCTGCCGCACCGTGTAGCAGCCTCGTGCCGCGCCGCACCCACACCTCGCCGCTTTCGCACCCCACCGCGCGCCGCCCCACTCGCAGCACGTTAAGCCTCACCTCACCCCGCTGTACTCGCACCTAGCCGCGCCTTGCGCCCAGCCGCACCTCGTGACACCCCGCAGCACCTCGCCCCTAGCAGCACTCGCACCTCGCTGCACCTCGCCCCTAGCAGCACTCGCACCTCGCTGCACCTCGCCCCTAGCAGCACTCGCACCTCGCTGCACCTCGCCTCTAGCAGCACTCGCACCTCGCTGCACCTCGCCCCTAGCAGCACTCGCACCTCGCTGCACCTCGCCCCTAGCAGCACTCGCACCTCGCTGCACCTCGCCCCTAGCAGCACTCGCACCTCGCTGCACCTCGCCCCTAGCAGCACTCGCACCTCGCTGCACCTCGCCCCTAGCAGCACTCGCACCTCGCTGCACCTCGCCGCACCTTATCGCTCCTCGCGGCACCTCGCCGAATCAAGCGGCGCGCCGATCCCGCACTTCGCTGAGTCCGCACCAAGCCTCGCCGCACCTAGCTTGACCTCGCCGCGCCTTGCATCCCGCCGCACCTTGCTGCGCCCCCATTCCTCGATGGTCTCGCATCGCGAGGCACCTCACCGCACCTTGCACCGGGCCGCACCCGCACGTCGCAGCACCTCGCCTCAGTCTCATCTCGCCGCACCTCGCACCCGGCCGCACCTCCCAACTCGCATCTCACCGCATCACGCGCCGCGCCGCTTGATGCACCCCGTCGTAACTGCAGCTCGCCACAGCTCGCTGCACCCCGCACTTCTCCGCACCAGATTTCCCTCCGCAACAAGCTCGCACCTCGCCGCACCTTGCCGCTCCTCGCATCACTCGCATCTCGCAGCTCATCGCATCCCGCTGCTACTAGCACCACACGCACCTCGCTCTCTTCGCGGCACCTAGCCACCCTCGCACCTCGCCGCACCTCGCCGCACCTAGCCGCACCTCGCGTCACCTCGCCTCACCCGCACCTGGCTGCTCCTTGCCTCACTCGCTCCCTGCACCTTTGCCACACTTGCACCTTGGAAGGTCCCAGCCCCAGTCCCACCTCGCCGCAGCAACTCGCCCTCGCACCTCTCCGTGCCTAGCCACACTCACACCTCGCATCACGCACCACGCTGCAACTCGGCACACTCACACCTCTCTGCACGTTGCCACGGTTACACCTTGGTCCTAGCCGCATTCGTACCGCTCTGCACCTAGCCACAGTCGCACCTCGCTGCTCCCAGCCACACTCACACCTTGGCGCTCCCCGCTGCACCTATCCACCCTCCCTCCTCGTCGCACCTGGGCTCAATCACATCCCACTGCTACTAGCACCACACACACCTCGCCGCACCTCGCTGCACCTCGCCTCACTCTCACCCCACTGCCTGTTTCCTCCCTCGCACCTCGCTGCACCTCTCCGCCCCACTCGCACCTCGCATCATCTTGACTAACCCGCACCACGCTGCACCTCTCTGCAGCTTGCCATACTTACACCCTCCTCGGGCCTAGCCGCACTAGCACCTCGTGCAACTAGTCTCTCCTGCACCAGGCTGCACCTCGGCTTACTTGCGCCTCGCTGCACCTAGCCTCACTCGCACCCCTCTCGCCCCTTTCTGCACCCTCCCTGGTGATTGAGTGCTTGTGCAGGTTCTGCACCTCTCTCAATCCCGTGTGGGTCTCTAACGTTTGAGGGCCTCCGGGACGCAGCACAGGCTGTTCCAGGTGGGTGATGCTGATGATGATTCCTGCTGGCACCCAGCTCCCCCGTTTCCCCTCGGCTATCCAGCTTCATTGATCATTCACAACCCCTAAAACCCCATGCCCATGGCCCTCGCTCCTCACTGCACCTAGCTTCATTGCACCCCGCTGCCCCTCACCTCACTTGCTCCTCGCTGCACCTATCTGCAGCGCGCCACTCTTGCACCTATCTGCACCGTGCCAGTCTTGCACCTATCTGCACCGTGCCAGTCTTGCACCTATCTGTACCGCGCCAGTCTTGCACCTATCTGCACCATGCCACTTTTGCACCTCTCTGCACCGTGCCACTTTTGCACCTATCTGCACCATGCCACTTTTGCACCTATCTGCACCGTGCCACTTTTGCACCCATCTGCGCTGTGCCACTCTTGCACCTATCTGCACCGTGCCACTCTTGCCGCCGCTCCCCGCTGCACCTTGCAACCCGTCACACCCCTCTTGCACCTTTCAACAGCTCTCCCTGGTGATTGCCTGTTTGTGCAGGTTCTGTGGAGTCAATCCCGTACAGGCCTCCGACGTTTGCGGGGCTCCGGACTCAACAAACACGGTACCAATTGGTTGATGTTGACGCTGATTCTTGTTGGCACCATGTTTCCCCTCTCCCCATGGCTGTGTAGCTTCATTTATCATTCACAACCCGTAATAACCTCTGCCCATTGCTGTAACTCGGCAACCCCACCACCAGGCAGGCCCGCACCAACCTTATCCCTATCACTGCCGTCTCATCCATCCTTGCTTGATCCGCCCATGGTTTCTCCGCTGGCTGTTTATGCTCCATGACCGTCATGCACCCATTGATTGTGCGTTCGTCTTTTGCATTTTTCCCAATACCTTTCCACCAACCTGGCTGTCCGCTTATTATGGACCAGCACATTAGTACTGTTACCCACCATTTTCAAGCCCGTCACCCTGCAGAGAATCGTGATGGCGCGCCGTTGCCTTCCTCGGTCCAGCACCATGGCAAATGCTCCACCTGTCACCAGCTCCGAACCACTGCCCCCCTTGGAATCTGTGGACGATTCGTGGTGGCATTCATCTGAACTTAGCCGACTTCCTGTTCCTATGCCGCCACAATCCCCCCTTGCTGGGTGGCCATTGGTTATTACCCTTGCAAATGTTCCTATTTATCCAAACCTAGTACACCATGCGGTGCAGGTCCCAGCTAACTCTGCACCCTCAAATTATACGGCTTATGTCCTCGTCGACCTGGAGCCTTTGCCCCATGATGCAGCATGATGTACTGTTGTCTCCATTTGTGGCTAATAAAATCACATGCTGTCCTCTCTTCCCTTCCTCACGTTGATGCACAAGAACAGAACGTTGGACAAAGTTAACAAAACATCAACGCATAGACGCTTGGATCGCGAGTGGTCGCAACACCTTCCACCCTTACTGTGCACCATATGAATCCTTGAGGCACCTGTTGCGACACCAATCTGCCCGCTGTCCACACGCCGTACGTCTCACCCAACCCCCTGGCAGAATGAGTCATACAGCGACGGAAAGAATTGTCCACATGTTTGGCAATTTTTTGAATTTCCACCGTTAAAGGGCATTTGAACATTAAGCCTTAATTGGAGGCATTACCCACTATGTGCAGGCCAATCTAGGGAGACATAATAATGGTACACATTTGATGAAACTACTATCGTTAACAGTAAACAGCAACATAACCAAACACGGTGCATGTGGACAATTATTTCCAGGCGGAAGCAGCAACTTGAAAAACCCTTAAACTAGTACCTGGTCCACCGCCCTTTAGCCCTAATCACCGCTTTCACCCTCCTGGGCATGCTGTCGATCAAATTGGAGCACACCTCTGATGGGATCTTCTCCCACTCCTCTTGTACACGCTCCCACAGGTCCACCATACCAGAGGGAGGTAACTCATGCTTTCCCAGCTCCCTTTTAAGATGAGCCCACAGATGCTCAATGGGGTTCAGATCAGGACTTCCTGCCGGCCACTCCAGGACCCCATACTCCTGCTCCTGAAGCCACTGCTGCACCACACGGGACTTATGCTTGGGGTCGTTATCATGCTGAAAGATCACAGCCGAGGGCGTTAGCTTGTAAAAGTCGACGGTTTTTTTCAGCTCGTCTTGCAAAATGCTCAGATACAGCGGCCCATCCATCCGACCATCGATTTTGCACATGAAACCCGCCCCCTCAAACGTCATACATCCCCAGAGCATCAAGCCGCCGCCCCCGTGTTTGACGGTTTGCTTGATCTGGTGGTGTTGGAGAGTCGTACCTTCACGAACCCAGGCGTATGCGCGGCCGTCAGAGCCGAATCTACTAATCCTCGTCTCATCCGACCATATGACCCGTCGCCAATCATCTATGGTCCAATCCGCGTGGGCCCGTGCGAACGCCAGCCTATCGCGGATATTTTTCTTGGAGAGTCGCGGCTTCTTAGGCTGCTGAACTGCGATAAGGCCGCTGGATTTGAGCGCATTACGCACCGTCCTAGGATGCACTGTGATGCCGTGCTGGGATTCGACGATTTGGGCCGCATGCCTCAAGGTTTTCGCCTCGCCGCTAGTGATCGCCCTGACGATCCCACGACGAATTCTACTTGTCAGTACGCGTGGACGACCAGCAGTGGGCATTGTAGGACGTACATCCTCGGGACTAGTCTCTGAAATCGCCTTGAGCCCGACATCATGTACTGTACTTTTCCCAACGCCAACCTGTTTCGCGATTTGCCTCGTGCTAAACCCCCTACGCAACAGGGCCACGATCCGGGCGCGACGAGCCTCATCTATCGGTCTCATCTTGGCGTAGTCTACGCCTCGGGTATAAACTCTATTCTGACTACTCGACAATTGCGTTAGGAACTATGGAGAGAATGCGCTTGTCGAAAACGGATCTAGTCCGCTGCTTGGCCAAAACTGTCCGGATGCACTCACGCGACTGAAATCTTGTCCACGCTATTAGTGCGACCCATTCAAATTGCAATCGTGTTACCCTATTGTAACTGGCACGCGTAACTTACTAGTCAGCAATGAACATTCAACAATACATCGGGTGAAAGCATTCAAATCATGTGTTGAACCTAAAATTGGACTTTATCCGGGCAATACTTTCCGTCGCTGTAAGTGCGATAATTGCGGCCTCACGGGCTTCGAGTCGAGGACGGCGGTGCTGGGCCACATGCGCGGGACGAGATGCAAATGCAAGAAGAAGGCAACTCCAGCTGCGGCAACAAGTACCACCCTCCATGGAGCAAAGCGAAGGCAGCCCGAAGACGCACTTGAAGCCGAGCCAACCTGCGCTGTTGGAGAAGCCATGTCATTATCTTCAGAACCATCCGAGCTTCCACCATCAAGCGAGGAAGAACCGGCACGCTCAGCCAACATCCCCGCTTCTCCTAGCGAGAGTGAATCAAGTGCAGGTCTCTCGAGCGAGAACAGAAGCATGCCGTGTGATGACGATGCAGCATCTACAGGTGGAAATGACAATGGGGAGGGCGGGGAAAGGGGTTCATCCGAAGAGGCCATACCGACGTTCGACCTACGTGATGCACTTGCTCATTGGCTGCTGGCAAACAGGGTATCACACCACCAGACGGACACACTCCTTTGCGCGCTTAACCACAAGGATGCCATCATGGAAGATATTGCAGATTGGAAGTCATGGCGTGATGTGTTGAAGCATGCGGATTCCAGAGCGCCGGATGCACACAGGAAATGGGAGAGGCAGTTGATTAGGGCGGACAACAAGGCGTTGTTGGAATATTGGCGCTGTGATGGCCTAATCGCACTACAGGATCTGTTGGCGCACTCCGAGCTTGCGAAAAAGATGGTCATGGATGCTGCCCCCCAGCAGGACGAGGATGGAAATAGAGTATACACTACTCCTGAAACGGGAAAATGGTGGGAGACCTTGGAGGGTGAGGTTCGAAAAGGGGATAAGGACGGAAAGGTCACAGCCCTGATACTTGCAAGCGATGAAACGCATATGGATAATCGCGGAAGGGCCAAGGGCCATCCCCTATACCTTACTTTGGGAAACATTGATAAGGATGACCGTTGGAAGCCGTACGGGCATGTTCTCCTAGCATTGCTTCCCCAGTTTCCACCCGAGTATACAGCGTCGGACAGGATGAATGTGTTCAACAGGGTGATGGACGAGGTTCTGGCCTCGATGAAGAAGGCATCGTACACTGGAGTTTCCATGAAGAACTTCAAGGGGGATAGTATGAGCACATGGCCGTCCCTATATGCTTACGTCAGTGATTATCCTGAGTCGTGCAAAGTGACTTGCACGAAATCCTTGGGCACCATGCACCCTTGCTCGATTTGCAAGGTGGATAACAAGCACCTTGCACAGTTCCAAGATCGGATCGCCCCCCGTACGCCATATGAGCAGGCATCTATCGTACGCCAGATCGTCGAAAAGGCCATCAAGGAAGATGCTGATGAGACACTGTCTACACATCCTATCAAGGTAAAGTGCGCTCATCCGTAATGCGTTCATACATTCACCGTAAACGCACTCTAACTTGGTGCTTGTTGCCGTGTGCAGTGCTTCCTATGGGGTTGGAGATGGGAATCCAATCCGGTCTTGAACCCATACCTGGCAGTGATGCCGGATGTGATGCACCAAACGGATCTCGGGATCTTCGAGCACATAATTGATTGCTTGCGCTCTATGTGGCCGAAACATCCTGTCATGCGCAAGGTCCTTGACAAGCGGCTGAAGTATCTTAGAACACACTTGCGGGGGGGGTGCATGCGTTTACCATCTGGGGAATATTTTTCCAAGGGGGCCAATTACCAAGCGTATGAACATAGATCTGACATGCAGGTCTTGCCGTTCATTATAACAGGATATGTCAAGCAAGAGCAGATGGATGCGTTGCTTGACTACACCGAGTGGTATCTCGAGTGCGCGCGCGCGAGCGAACACACGGATGAGACTCTGCGCCAGTTGAAAACAAAGGCCACCAGGTAAGTGTGTTGTTGTCTCTTCCTGCTTTGTGTTCGTTTTATTCCATGCGCACCACTAATTCTAGTTGGTTGCATATCGCAGACTTATTGAAGGACTGAGGAAACATTACACCCAGGCGTCCAAATGGAACATCGTAAAAATGCATCTTATCAGCCATTACATAGACTCCATCAAGCGTGCAGGCTTACCCGAGCACTACTCAGCGCAGCTGTACGAGCACCTTCACATAGAGTATGTGAAGCTCCCATACCGTGCTTCGAACAAGAGGAACGTCAATGAGCAGGTGGTGCGCAGCGAAGAGGCCCGCCTGCGTATGCAGTCCCTAGCACCTCTCATGGACAAGAAGAAAAAGTACGATACGGCTATGGTCAAGGTAAGCCCCTCCATCGCACGCCTTGTGTCATACCTTGCTCTTTGGATGTAACCATGGTTGAACCAATCCTGTGCTGCCTTTGAATGGTTGTAGGCCCAGCGCACAGACACGCGCATTCTCTCTCGGCGGAGCTGGCGTCTACATGTGCCCAAGAAGGCAACCCGTTCTCCTTACGTAGTGCCGTGCAAGCCCGATGTAAGAAGGGACGGCCCATTGCAGGCATCAATCGGGGAGGACCTCAAGCACCTTCGAGCAGCACTGGACAATGCGCCGCAATGTCACCAAAAGGGAAAAGAGATCGAGTACATTAATGTGAGTCTGCACCTCGTCGTCCCATTCAAACCGATGCCTTCCATTCCTCGGCCTTATGTTCCACATGTCCCTCATAGTTGGTTTTGTCCTCACCCCCCTGGTTCTTGCACCGTTGTACTTTGGTTTCCCCTTCGATGAAGAAGGCATGTCTTGCTTCTTTAGTTCTCCTCTCTTTCATCTCGCTAACTTCTTCCTACCTAGCTAAACCCTCAATGCGTTATTCTGAGAATCCCCCCAAGTCGGTTTCCCTCTCATGCGTGCACCCGGCCTCTGGTTTCGTTCTTCCCCTCAATTTCTTCCCTAGTTCCCCTTTCCCTTAAGCTGGTTTCCCATCCAACCCTAAAACCCTGGCATACCCACATTCAGCCCGGGTCCAGTCTTTCTGCTCACTAACACTTCGCCTTGTCCATCCCCTTTCTCGTTAACTTAGTTCTTCTGAAGATACGAGCTCCTCCACACATCATCCATATCCCTCTTGTCTCTACACGTACCCACTTCCTTCCACCTCCCCCCCTGGATTTCCAAACCCCCTTCTCAGCTATCCCATGACATGTTACTCCCACCCCTCCCATTGGTTTTTTCCTAATGCCCCGAACTCCTCTACCGCCCCCATGGTTACCCTTCACTCCGCACTGTGGTTTTG